GAATCTACCTGAAAATTGCCAAGAGGTAAGTGGTAATGAGAGGGGAGAGAGTTTTTGTTTTTAAAAAAAGGAAGAAGAAGAAAAGAGAAAGAAGAGGAAGAAAAAGAGGAGGAAAAAGAAGAGGAAGAAGAAGAAGAGGAAGAAGAGGAGGAGAAAGGAAGAGGAAGAAGAGGAGGAGGAGGAGAAGGAGAAGGAGAAGGAGAAGACAATGACAATGGCTCTGTGGCCTGTTAGTTAAAGCAGCCAGATACCTTATGTCTGGTTGTGCAGTTCAAGTCCTGGACCTGGAGTCTTGAGAAACATGTTGGGTGTGTGTGTGCCCCAAATCTTTTTTTTAAATTAATTTTTATTTTTATTTATTTACATTCATTCACTGTACATCATTATAGCATACAAAATGAGATTTTTCCATTCACAGTACACTGTATATTGGCTCAATCAAGCACATCAACATATGTGTTATTGTCAACACATAATTTTCCATTTCTTGTTTTCTGTATATTTTGCCTTTTTTCCCATCCTTGATTCCCTATCTCTTTTTGATTTTTGTTATAGGCGCATGCACTCGCCAGGGAGACAGAGAGGCACAGAGACAGAAAGCAAGAAATCACTCCCCGGGTGGGATGACCATGCTGAAATCCCTTCTCCTCCATTCTTCTCTCAGGATTTTGGGCACACATGCACACACACCCTGTATGAGTTTTTAGTTGTAGGGTCTAAGACTCAAACCATGGTCAACTATATGGGAGTTCAGCTATGTAACCATTACACCATCTGCTGTCTCCATTATGACTGCTTCAAAAATAAATTTTTTTTCTTTCTGATCACAAAAGTAATACATGCTTATTGAAGAATGTAAACAAAAATTACAATACATTTATTACCAAAAAATAACTGCTGTTATACTCTTGAAGAATCTTTTTTCTAGTGCTTATTCCTTTGTTTTCTATAACTATGTTAATCTATTCATATATTTTTGTACATTTCTATAGAGATATAGTAATGTTCTTTTTTTAGAATTATTTTATTTAACTTTATTTACTTATTTAAATTTGACCAGAGAGAAACAGAGTGAGAGAGAGAAAGAAAGGGAAAGTGAAAAAGCAAGTCTCCAGGTCCTGAACTTGAACTGCAGTTAGCCATGTGGTAGTCCAGCACTCTTAACCACCATAGTACTTGCTGGTGCACGGGAACATTCTTTTCAAAACAATTTTATATCAGCTTTTTTTCATTTCAGCGCCTTTTTCAATATCAGTAATTATTCCTTAATAACGTGATTTGCAAAAATGGACATGCAATAGTATTTTCTTTAAAGTGTACAATGTAACCTATTTGACCTAATATTAGATATAAACATTGTTTCTATTTTTTATGTTATGAATAATAAAATATTGAATATCCTCAAAATAAATAATTTATACATCTAATACTGGATGAAAGGGCAGAAGCATTTTTAAGATCTTTGATACATTTTCAACTAGTTTTATGAAAGTTTATATTAATTCACACCTTAAAAAAGTTAAAAAGTGCTTTTTGATTATTTTTTCCAATCTATTTAAAAGTAGACTGTATAGCTATTAGTTTTTAAAATTGTTGTTGTTGTTGTGGATCTAGTTTAGGAATTATTTCTATCGGTAGTCATCTATTTTTATTTTTTGCTCCTATTTGTGTTTGGCATGATTGTTTATTCTTAGAATATAAAATAACCTATTATTAAGCTAGTATTCTCATTATTATTAGGAAAAAAGTAGCTATTTCATTTTTCTTTTTGTGAAATCACAAAAAAGCAGATTTTGTGAATATAAGTAACATGACCTAAACCTGACAATAAATAAATAAAATTCAATTTTTGATAGGCCAAGATATTAATTTTAGACTATTTAATGCAGGCTGAAGTACCAAAGATTGATTATATTAGACATCTTCACTACAGATTATTTACCAGCTCAAGGATAGCTTGAACATTTTTATGCTTTCTGCAGATGGTGCTCAGTATAACATTATTTTTCTAATGGAGTGCATAAGATGATGTTGTATAAAGTTTATCAGCAAATATAAAATTATAGACTTGCCAGACACTGCCAGAAATAAAAAGAAATGCACATATTTTCTTTTACTTCCCTTTTAAAATAAATATGAGGAGTTAGTTAGTCACACGTGGGGGGAATTTCCTGATGAGTCTTTGCTAGGTGCCAATGTTTTGTCTGGCCTGCCAGTTTGAATCACAGAGGGTGTCTTAAAAAAAAGGTGAGGAAAGGAGGAAGGATAGATGGATCATCATGGTCATGTGTAGGGCCTCATTAGAAGAATCTACCTGAAAATTGCCAAGAGGTAAGTGGTAATGAGAGGGGAGAGAGTTTTTGTTTTTAAAAAAAGGAAGAAGAAGAAAAGAGAAAGAAGAGGAAGAAAAAGAGGAGGAAAAAGAAGAGGAAGAAGAAGAAGAGGAAGAAGAGGAGGAGAAAGGAAGAGGAAGAAGAGGAGGAGGAGGAGAAGGAGAAGGAGAAGGAGAAGACAATGACAATGGCTCTGTGGCCTGTTAGTTAAAGCAGCCAGATACCTTATGTCTGGTTGTGCAGTTCAAGTCCTGGACCTGGAGTCTTGAGAAACATGTTGGGTGTGTGTGTGCCCCAAATCTTTTTTTTAAATTAATTTTTATTTTTATTTATTTACATTCATTCACTGTACATCATTATAGCATACAAAATGAGATTTTTCCATTCACAGTAC